GACCAGTGTGGGCAACGTGGTGAAACCCCATCTCCAAAAACAAAAAATTTAGCTGGGCATGGTAGTGCACACCTATAGTTCCAGCTACTTAGGAGGCTGAGGCAGAATTGCTTCAGCCCAGGAAGTCGAGGCTGCAGTGAGCTATGATTGTGCTACTACACTCCAGCTTGGATGACAGAGAAAGACCCCATCACTCATACATACACATATACATAAATGAAAAAATGTCTGGAAAATGCTGGATGTGGGGGACGTGCGGCAGCTGTGTATGAGGACTTCTGTTCGCAGTGCCTGCCCCACAGATGTCGCATTCATGAATTTTTGTTCAAAAGCTAAGATCACTTCCATCCTCTCTGGTCTTTCCTGAGATAATCTGTCCCGGAATCCAAGTTGTCCCCTCCAGTACCCAATTCTTTCGGAGGGGTTAAAGGGATTGCAGGGGACAGACAGGAGAGGGAGAAGACACAGGCCGCTGCATAAAAAGTGAAACCGAGGGAAAGATAATGGGGATGTTAAAGATGGTTTGCAGGCCACGGTGGCTCACGCTGGTAATCCCAGCACTTTGGGAGGCCGAGGCAGTTGGATTGCCTGAGTTCAGGAGTTCGACACCAGCCTGGCCAACATGGTGAAACCCTGTCTCTACTGAAAAAAAAACAAAGGCCGGGTGTGGTGACTCACGCCTGTAATCCCAGCACTTTGGGAGGCCAAGGTGGGCGAATCACGTTAGGAGATCGAGACCATCCTGGCTAACATGGTGAAACCCCGTCTCTGCTAAAAATACAAAAAATTAGCTGGGTGTGGTGGTGGATGCCTGTAGTCCCAGCTACTCGGGAGGCTGAGGCAGGAGAATGGCGTGAACTCGGGAGGCGGAGCTTGCAGTGAGCCGAGATTGCGCCACCGCACTCCAACCTAGGGGACAGAGCGACTCCATCTCAAAAAAAAAAAAAAAAACAACAACAAAAGATTACCTGGGCATGGTGGCACATGCCTGTAATCCCAGCTACTAGGGAGGCCCAGGTGGGAGAATCGCTTGAACCTGGGAGGCGGAGATTGCAGTGAGCCGAGATTGCGCCATAGCACTCCAGTCTGGGCAACAAGAGTGAAACTGTCTCAAAGAAAAAAAAAAAAAAAGGTGGCCTGCTTTGCAGCAGAAACTAGGACTCCCTACACACTCATGAACCATCTGGTAACATTCTGTAATGGTGTTCCATGGTTTTGTATTTGACTTGATGTTTTGGGGAATGCTAGAATGCTTGAGTTCTAGAGGCAGCTCAAGAAGACCTGCTAGAGTATCACAACAGACATAGGAATTTGTAAATGTTTTCCACTTGTAGTTGAGCCCAAAGCGTTTTCCTGCGGTTTTCTGTCTTCAGACCCACCATGTACCACATGGAACACACGAGCTCCAGCAGAGGTGCTAGGTCCATCTTGCTCCCCACTGTAACCCTGGAACTGAGAATGGTGCCTCAGACATGGCTGGTGTGCAGCAAATCAAAGTGCCCTCACTTTCTTTTTTTTTTTTTGAGACGGAGTCTCGCGCTGTGTCACCCAGGCTGGAGTGCAGTGGCGCCATCTCGGCTCACTGCAAGCTCCGCCTCCCAGGTTCACGCCATTCTCCTGCCTCAGCCTCCGAGTAGCTGGGACTACAGGCGCCCGCCACCACGCCTGGCTAGTTTTTTGTATTTTTAGTAGAGACGGGGTTTCACCATGTTAGCCAGGATGGTCTCGATCTCCTGACCTCGTGATCCGCCCGTCTCGGCCTCCCAAAGTGCTGGGATTACAGGCTTGAGCCACCGCGCCCGGCCAAAGTGCCCTCACTTTCAAGAGCTGCCCCATAGCCCACAGAATGGCTGTGCCACCAGTTACTAACATTCCCTATGTGGCAGGCTCAGGCTGCCTCCTGATACTTCTTTTTTTCAGAGTCCAGCTGCCGTCCAGGCTCCTGTTTCTCGATTCTCCTTGTGGTTTTTCTCATTTTTCTGGCTCCCTCTGAGCTGCTTCTAGCTAGGATTCAAGCAGGTGAGAGAAGTGAATGGCTGGAAGATTGACTTATGTGGTCAGATTGACGGTACCCGGTGATGCACTAGACAAGGGTGTACTTTAGACCTAGTGCACCAAGGCTAGGTCTAAAGTTTTGACTCATGTATCCAGATGGACAGTGAGTGGCGCCACTTGCCATCAGAGGAGATGCTAGAAAAGGCTCTGAGGAAAGCTTTTTTTATTTTGAGACGGAGTCTCGCTCTATTGCTCAGGCTGGAGTGCCGTGAACAATCTCTGCTTACTGCAACCTCCGCCTCCAGGGTTCAAGTGATTCTCCTGCCTCAGCCTCCCCAGTAGCTGGGATTACAGATGGCTGTAACCACACCTGGCTAACTTTTTTATTTTTAGTAAAGATGGGGTTTCACCATATTGGCCAGGCTGGTCTTGAACTCCTGACCTTGTGATCTGCCCGTCTTGGCCTCCCAAAGTGCTGGGATTACAGGCGTGAGTGAGGAAAGCTCTTTTTTTGAGACAGTCTTGCTCTGGCACCAGGCTGGAGTGCAGTGGCATGATCTCAGCTCACTGCAACCCCCACCTCCTGGGTTCAAGCGATTTTCTAGCGTCAGCCTCCCAAGTACCTGGGATTACAGGCATGTGCCACCACACCCAGCTAATTTTTGCATTTTTAGTAGAGATGGGGTTTCACCATGTTGGCCAGGATGGTTTCAATCTCCTGACCTTGTGATCCACCCGCCTCGGCCTCCCAAAGTGCTGGGATTACAGGCATGAGACACCATACCCAGCCAGGGGAAGCTCTTAAGTTCATTTTGGGACACGCTGGGTTTGAGGTGCCTTTACTAGACACACATTGACATGGTAAGCTGACAGTGGATAGAGATGACAAAAGATGGCTTTTCTGCCTGTCCCGCAGCCCAGGAGCCTCCAGAAGAGTGATGGGAAACCTACGGCTATCTTTATGTCTCATCCACATGGGTCACTGTAGATTCCTGGGTGGCCAAAATGGGCCTTAAGTTTGGGAAACTATTTGCCTGGCTAACGTACGACGCATTTAAAACAAACATTTTGTTCATAATGTACTATGAAGGACCCAAGACCCGATTTTCTTCCATGCACGTTTGTATCGACACATCTACAACGCTGAGTAGTCTCTATCTCTGACATAAGGGAGGGAAGCAGGTGCGAAGTGTGCCCCTAGGAGGAGTGTGCCCCTAGGAGTAGCTTTCTTGGGCAGTTTCTGTGAGGGAGAAGGCTGAGAGTAAAGAACAGAACAGCACTGGGAACCAGTTAGAGGCAGAGGAAGCAGCAAATGCAAAGACCCTGAGTTAGGAATGAATTGGTCTCCAAAATAATCTGGACACGGCGCATGGGAGCTCCTGCCTGTGGTCCCAGCTACTTGGGAGGCTGTGGTGGGAGGATCACGGGAGCCCAGGAAGTCAAGGCTGCAATGAGCTATGATTGTGCCACTAGACTGCAGCCTGGGCTATAGAGTGAGATGTGAGACACTGTCTCAAAAATAAATAAATAAATACATAATAAAAATAAACAAAATAGCCTGGCAGCCTCAGCAGCACCTGTGAAAAAGGCTTAGGAGTTGAAGAAGTCGGTAATAAAGCCATTTTTAGGTGGTACCAAGAAGGCGTTAAATAATCTTAAATTTTACAGTGAGAAAATACAATTCTTGCTCCATCTTTCTAATTTTATTAAGGAGAAAAATCTCAGTTGAGTGCCGGTCCATCTAACTCCTCACCTCCCTTTTTTACAAAAAGAACAAGCCTCAGGCCCAGAGTCTATGCAGGCAACAGCATCTAGCTGTAATTTAATAACACTGGTGGTTTTTCTTGTATTTATTTTTAGTTACTTTCCATTTATGTGAAGTGTAAAATTTCACTTAAAAATCCATTTAAACTTAAAAGGTGAGTTTGTTTTTAAAAATATTAAGTAACTTGCCGGGTGCGGTGGCTCACGCCTATAATCCCAGCACTTTGGGAGGCTGAGGTGGGTGGATCACGAGGTCAGGAGATCAAGACCATCCTGGCTAACACGGTGAAACCCCATCTCTACTAAAAATACAAAAAATTGCATGGTGGCGGGCGCCTGTAGTCCCAGCTACTCAGGAGACTGAGCCAGGAGAATAGCATGAACCCGGGAGGCGGAGCTTGCAGTGAGCCGAGATCGCGCCACTGCACTCCAGCCTGGGCGACAGAGCAAGACTCCGTCTCAAAACAAACAAACAAAAAATTAAGTACAAGAAGTACAGAAGCCTGGCAAAAATCATGAAAGTGAGGGAGGTAATACGTAGACAACTGAACTGGAGGGGCACTGGTCTGAGTGAGGACTTTGGGCACAGTAACTCCACCTCATGCTTTGTGCTTTCTGGGTTTTGTCTGTTTAATTTGTTGTTGTTTTTCCCCAATATAAACTTTTTTTTTTTTTTTTTTTTTTTAAAACCCAACCTTGCCGGGCGCGGTGGCTCACGCCTGTAATCCCAGCACTTTGGGAGGCCGAGGCGGGCGGATCACAAGGTCAGGAGATCGAGACCACGGTGAAACCCCGTCTCTACTAAAAATACAAAAAATTAGCCGGGCGCGGTTGTGGGCGCCTGTAGTCCCAGCTACTCGGGAGGCTGAGGCAGGAGAATGGCGTGAACCCGGGAGGCGGAGCTTGCAGTGAGCCGAGATCGCGCCACTGCACTCCAGCCTGGGCGACAGACCAAGACTCCGTCTCAAAAAAAAAAAAAAAAAATAAAAAAAAAAAAAAAAAATAAAACCCAACCTTATTTTGGCTAAGGGGAAAGGGATTTACTTTCATTTGGGTAAAGACAGGACAGACTAAAGGTCCCTAGACGTTAGTGGTTCAGGTTCTAACCACACAACACTGATGAATGGAAAGGGAGATGTAGGGAGAAGTGAAAAACCCTGGGCAACAGCAGAGCACGCTTCCCTTCCCATCAAGCTCTCAAATACAAGTCTGGAGATTCAATAAAAAAGATCATTCCATGATAGAGAAGACAGAAAGCTGTAACTCTTTTTAATGTTTAACTTTTCTTTGTAAAAAACTTATTAAAAAAACTTAAATGGTCAGTTAAAGTTAAAAATCTATTGCTGCACAATATAACTGATTAAAAGATTTCCAGATCTCTTGACTCCAAGAGATCTCTTTCCACCCTGACCTTTCATTTCTTACAGATCTCACACTTCCAGATTTCTCTTTAGCAAACACGATCTGAAATCATTTGTAGGTAATCAACCGTTTAAGCATATGGAGGCTCTGGCTGAGGCAGCAGAGTCCTGGGAGACTGAACACTGGGAGACTCAGTGTCCCCCACAGAAATCCAGACCCGGGCTCAGCCCAACACCGCCAGGGCTCCTGCACAGGACCTATGTGGCGAACCTGAGCTCGATCTTCCCCGCCAGTCCTCCTGGTCACTCCTGAGGGCTGCCGACCCTCCAGAGTGTGGCTCTCCTTCTAAAAGCTGGAGCTTCATTCCACTTTGATTCTCATCAGCTCCCATCTTCCTCCTCCACAGAGTTTCAGAACGAAGGAATGAAACTACAAGAGACCACCACCACACGGAGATCAGGTTGCCCTGGCCACTGGCACAGGAGGCCACTCAGTTCTCTCTGCTACTGCTACTCCCTGTTTTGAGGAGCCTCTGGCTCTGGCCAGGCTCAGCCTTTGGGTTCTCTCTCCTCCTTAGGCCATCCTTGTGAGCACAGGTACCTTCTCAAGGCTCTGCCGATGTCCCACACTGATGAACGTCATCCCCAGCTGCTGGCCGATGCGATAGAGCTCATTCTCCACCTCCTCTGTCAGGGCACTGGTGGCTTCATCAAGCACTGAGGGCAGAGCACAGAGGAAGAGATCAAAGCCCTGCCCTCTGCTGCTGCTGCTTCTCCTCCCACCCACACTCAACCCCGGCTGGGACCCAGGGGAGGCTGAAAGCTGCTCTGGCTTCCAGAAGCCCTGCCTCAGGGAGAAGGATGGGTCAGAGGAGCAGAGGGCCAGACTCTGTGAGGGAATCGCCTGTAAGCAGCTGCATGAAATCTCTCAGCTTCTACAGATAAGCATCAGCCACTTCCTGGGACCACTCAATCCAGGGAATCCCAGTCCCCCGCAAGAAGGTCAGTCTTTGGAAAAGTCCACACCCATCTCCCTGCCAGGCACAGCTTGGCAGGAGAGGAGGATGGGTGCCCATTCATTTGATGGTGGAGCCAGAAGAGCATAAAATTACAACCCTTCAAGGTTGGCTCTTGGCTCCAGCTGCTGCCAGGCAAAAAGCTTATGAGCTGGGCATGGTGGTTCATGCCTGTAATCCCAGCAATTTGGGAGGCCAATGCGGGCGGATGGCCTGAGTCCAGGAGCTCCAGACCAGTCTGGGAAACACAGCATGACCCTGTCTCTACAAAACTAAAAATAAAAAAATTAGCAGGGTGTGGTGGCACATGCCTGTAGTCTCAGCTACTCAGGAGGCTGAGGTGGGAGGATCACTCAAGCCTGGGATTTCCAGGCTGCACTGAGCCATGACTGTGCCACTGTACTCCAGCCTGGGTGACAGAGTGAGACTCTGTCTCAAAAAAAAAAAAAGAGAAAAGAAAGCTTATGAGCAGGCAGTACAGCATATTCAGTGTTACTCTGAAGATGCCAAGCACTGTTTACAAGGGCAAGGCCTGCTGTCCTCTCCAGCAGGGAACTCGGAGAAGCCCAGTCATGCACAGGTGTGCCTGGGTGCCCGTGAACACATGCTGCTACACCCCTGAGTGCAGACAACACATGCATGTGCAGCCACAAGGCAGACCTCACCTGCGTACTTCGGTTGCAGGTAGAAGAGTCGGGCAAAGGAGAGCCGTTGCATCTCCCCTGGGGACAGAACATCATACCTGAGGAAAGGGAGGGGAGAGGTCTGCTGGAAGAGGAAGGATATAGCTTAGCTTTTACCTAGAATGGTCTGGGTGGGAAGAGGTTTCTCTGTAGAGAGGTGAGCCCCAGGAGATAGAAGCCCCTCCCCTTTCAACCATAGGCCTACAGCCCTCACAGAGTGAGGCAAAACTCTGTTCCCAAGGACATAAACTTGCACCCGATTGACCAGCCAAACATCTGGACTTTGGGGTCAGGAGCCGTTCCATTCCTTGACAGGGACCCTGAAACCAATGGTCTTTATGGTGGAGCTATCTCTGAAGCACCCAAGCTCTGTTCTTACCAGTTCCAGTCCACCTGCTGGTCCAGACCCTCTGTCCTTGCCACCAAGTTGGACTGTAACAGACCCAGAGGGCACGATGTCCATGAAATGGCCAGCCCTGCTACCTGCCATCATAGGGAACCTCCCTCACTCCCCAGCACGCGCACACACACATCTCTAAGACAAACATATGCCCCAGTGGCATACCAAGGTGGGGGGCTGTGGGACAGTCTGCCCCAGCCAGAGAGGAATATATTCTACCAATGACACTGTTTAGACTTGCTGGAGTATGGTGATAACAAAAAAGCAAACTGCCTTTGTCAGTCCTATTCTTGTTTTAAAATTCTCCAGTGAGAAGGCCGGGCGCGGTGGCTCAAGCCTGTAATCCCAGCACTTTGGGAGGCCGAGACGGGTGGATCACGAGGTCAGGAGATCGAGACCATCCTGGCTAACATGGTGAAACCCCGTCTCTACTAAAAAAATACAAAAAAATTAGCCGGGCGAGGTGGCGGGCGCCTGTAGTCCCAGCTACTCGGGAGGCTGAGGGAGGAGAATGGCGGGAACCCGGGAGGTGGAGCTTGCAGTGAGCCGAGATCGCGCCACTGCACTCCAGCCCGGGCGACAGAGCAAGACTCCGTCTCAAAAAAAAAAAAAAAAAAAAAAAAAAAAAATTCTCCAGTGAGAGCACTACCCGCTTCCTGCCTAAACCTGGCCAACAGCACACACTGTCAATTGATACTCCCATTCTCCACCCCAGGTTCAGACTTCCAGTCCTGGGCCCAGGCACAGCAGGGCCAGCACCTGCCTACCTGTAGCTGGTGCTCCCAGGTGGGCTTGGGTCCTGAGGGTCCCTGCCTCCACTTACCAGGCCTGCCAATTCCAAGAACCTCAAGATCCTCTCATCATCAGCAGAACCTGCACAACAGAGAAGCCTTCTGCAAAAAGCCAGAGCCTCCTGGCTGGTCAAAACAGACAGGGCAAGGCTGGGCACAGTGGCTTACGCCTGTAATCCCAGCACTTTGGAAGGCCGAGGTGGGTGGATCACAAGGTCAGGAGATGGAGACCACCCTGGCCAACATGGTGAAACCCTGTCTCTATTAAATATACAAAAATTAGGCAGGCATGGTGGCATGCGCCTGTAGTCCCAGCTACTTAAGAGGCTGAGGCAGGAGAATTGCTTGAACCCAGGAGGTGGAGGTTGCAGTGAGCTGAGATCACACCACTGCACTCCAGTCTGGGTGACAGAGTGAAACTGCATCTCAAAAAATAAAAAAAAGAATAGACAGGGCACATGGCAGGGGTGGGGGCCCCAGAATGCTGGGTGAAGCCTCTGAAGTCACAGGTTGCAGCCCTTGGTAAGGGAAGGGGTGGGTGAAGGAAGGCATCACTTCCCTTGTCCCAGTGGGCGTCTCTCCTTAAGGACGGAAAGATAGAATGAGGTGAGATCTGGGTGCAGACCCCCGAACAGTCAAAGGAAGACAGGAGTCCCTCTTCCTTCAATCAGCGGCCTGGCTGGGGCCTCTCCCAAAGGGCACAGGTGAGGTCACAGTCAGGTAGAGCAGGGACAACCGTGACAGAAGGAGAGGACATGACCTGAGGAGGACCAGCTCACCTGAGTCGGGGTAGACCTCCTTCAGGGGATATATCACCTGAGAAAAGAAAAAAACCACACCAGCCTAGGAGGAGGGAGAGCAAGAGATGGAGCTGCACACAGCCCACCCTCCCTCCAGAACCCACTGGAACCTCCCAAGGAGGAGAGGTGGGAACGCCTGGCCCAGGTCAGATGGGAGAGGCTCTGGCCCGCAGACAGCAGGGCAAGGTCCCTACAACCTTCAGAAGTGTGTTTAGTGGGAAGAGTGGAACAGCCTCCTGAGGGCAGGGGCCCCACAAACCCACCTCGGGTGTTTATGCGTGTGATATCTGGCGTGAGTCCTTGCCCCATTTACCTGCCTCAGGAGCTGCTCTGAGTAGTGGGCCCAATCCATGGATGTGAATACAAGGTTCTTAGAGCCAGCAGGTCCCAGGCTCGGGCCACTTTACTACCTCACCTTTTGCCCTGACTCTAGGGCCTGAGACCTGTCACAGTGCCAAAGGTCCCAGCTGTGGGCGGGTGGGGCTGAGGAGGGAGGAGTGGGCCCCCTGAACTAGGCTGACCTGCTCCCGAAGGGTCCCGTCAGTGAAGAATGGCTTTTGTGGCAGGAATAGCACCCCATGGGGCCCAAAGTCCGTCAGCATCTGCACTGAGCCTGCAGAGCCCACAGAAACCTTCATTGTGAGATCTCCCAGAAGAGGCAACTGCCTGTCTCCTCTCTTCCTTGTTCCCCAACAGAAAAGAATGGATTCTACTACACTGTCTCCACCCTCACTCCACCCCTAGGGCCCAGGCTGGGTCAGAGGGAGGGAGGGCCTGGCTCTCACCCCGTGTACTTGTCCAGAGGCCGCCCAGAACCCGGAGCAAGGAGGTCTTGCCAGTGCCCGTGTTGCCTGTGATGAGCAGGCTCTGTCCCTCGGAGATCTTTAGGCTCAGATCCTTGATTAGGGGTTTGTCAGAGGAGGGGGCAGAGATGGAGACCCGCTCAAGGAGAAATGCTGTGTCTGCTGGCTCTGCCGCTGGCCACCCTGAGGCTCTGTGTCAGAGAAGAGAGGGGACATGAGGAAGATGGGCAGGGTCAGTATTGCTGTGGGGGAGGCACTTCTCCCGAGAGCCGCCACCTGTGGATTGTTATGGGCTGACTTGCATCCTCCCAAAATCCCAGCCCCCAGTGCCTCAGAATGTAACCACATTTGGAGGCAGGGTCTTCTTTTTTTTTTTTTTTTTGAGAGAAACTCTTGCTCTTGTCACCCAGGCTTGAGTGCAGTGGTGCAATCTCGGCTCACTGCAACCTTCGCCTCCTGGGTTCAAGTGATTTTCCTGTCCCAGCTTCCTGAGTAGCTGGATTACAGGTGCCCACCACTGCGTCCATATTTTTAGTAGACACAGGGTTTCGCTATGTTGGCCAGTCTGGTCTTGAACTTGTGACTTCAGGTGATCCGCCCACCTCAGCCTCCCAAAGTGGTGGGATTATAGGTGGAAGCTTCTGTGCCCGGCTGGAGGCAGGGTCTTTAAAGAGATGATGTTAACATGAAGCTGTTAGGGCGGGACCCTAATCCACTATGACTGGTGTCCTTTGAAGACAGAGGTGGCAGGGACATGCATACACAGAGGAAAGGCCACATGACGACACAGCAACAAGGTGGCCATCTACAAGCCAAGGAGTGGCCTCAGAAGAAACCAACCCTGCTGACAACTTGATCGTGGACCATTAAGCATCCGGAATTGTGAAAAAATTAATTTCTAGTGTTTAAGCTACCCGGCTTGGGGTATTCTGTCACGGCAGCCTGAGCACATTAATACAGGGGTAGGGGTGGAACTTCTACTCTGTGCCTGGGTGGACAAAGCCCCTTATGGGACTGATCTTAATCAGTCTAACGCCCATGAATCTCAAATATCATCACAGATGAGGACACTAAGAGTCAGGTGGCTAAGTAACTGCCCAGGTCACAGAGCGGTAGAATTAGAGGTCATCTAATTCTAATGCTGGTGGGTCTTCATGGTGTCACAGTATGACCAGAGTACTAATAACAAGAATGGGAGTGGTTAAAGCTAAACGGTTCTGGAGTTTCAGGCTCTGCATGGATGCCTGGCAACCCACAGAACAGCAATTCCAGTTTCCTACAGACCCTCCTTTATGCCTAGCCTCTGAACTCATGGTTGCATGAAGCTTTCATTTGGAACAGAAGCAAGAGTTAAGGCATCAACTCCTAAGAAAAGCAAGTTGAGTGTAGGCCCTGGAATTCAGATTGATTTTTGAAAGCTTATGATGTGGCCACTGTCCAAGCACTTTCCAGAGATGATGATATCTAATCCTTACAACAAGTGAAGGAAGGTTCCATTATGACCTCCTTTTCAGACATGAAGAAACAGAACAGTTGGGGGCCGGGCGCGGTGGCTCAAGCCTGTAATCCCAGCACTTTGGGAGGCCGAGATGGGCGGATCACGAGGTCAGGAGATCGAGACTAGCCTGGCTAACACGGTGAAACCCCGTCTCTACTAAAAAAATACAAAAAACTAGCCGGGCGAGGTGGCGGGCGCCTGTAGTCCCAGCTACTCGGGAGGCTGAGGCAGGAGAATGGCACAGACCCGGGAGGCGGAGCTTGTAGTGAGCTGAGATCCGGCCACTGCACTCCAGCCTGGGCGACAGAGCGAGACTCCGTCTCAAAAAAAAAAAAAAAGGAAACAGAACAGTTAGGTAATCTGCCCAAGGAAAGTGTGGAGAGCAAACAAATCCTGAATGCACAGAAACATTACAGATCCACACAGATACACGAATACAGACATCTCTGGGGCTAAGTGAGGTGGGAGAACAAAGACAGATATGCCCCAAGGAAAGGGGCAGGGAAAGGACTCAGTGGGAGGAGGAAGCACAGGAAGAGGAGGACACTGCAGATTCCTGTTATCTCAGGCAGAAGGTGTGTGTACTTTGCTTCCATTAGCTGGGGGAATGGTGTAAATTAACACAACAGATGCCGGAACAGCAACATCGACTGTGAACTTACATGTGCCTGGCATTCCATTTCCATCTACTCCTCACAACTCTGCTGCCCTGGGAAAACTCTGGGAAAGGGCAGGGCTCCAGGGTAACCCAAGCCAGGTAATGCCAGAGCCTGCAGCCTCAACTACTGCTCTGCCAGCCCACTACTCACTTGTCCAAGCCCCACTCGCTCTCGCCTAGGATCTCACAGTCCTGCGACTTCAGGGACATGTCCAGCAGCGTCTCCCGAAGTTGCCCAATCCTAAGCAAGAAAAGAAAATCTGAGGCAGGGTCTGGGGGCCAGGTGAAGGCGAATTCCTTTTCCTATCTCACACCCACGAGTACATGGTATGTCTCTGTTCCTTTTTTCACTCAGCCACTTATTCCAGCAGCACACACTCTGCTCAGGAGCCAGAGGGGTGGGACCCAGCCTCACCTGTGCGTGTAGCCAGCCACATCCGAGAGCGTCGTGGACAGGTCGATGAGCTGGGTGAAGCAGCTGATGAGGTAGATGCACACAAAGGCATTCTGGACAGGATGGGGAGTGGTCAAGCAGGTCTCAACTCCAGCCCACAGGCACTGGACCAAAGGACGGAGGGGGGACAGCATGAGGGGTCACCAAAAGGGAGTCTCACCTTGCTGACCAGGGTGCTAAGCTCTGCAGGACTCAGGTCTCCATAGACCCCGCTGAAAATGGGGATTGCGATGACAACGTAACTCAGGATGCTGCCCAGATAGTCAAAGGTGTTGATGCCGACTGTAGAAGACAGATGCGTGAGACACCCAGGAACCATCCACATGCCCTGCAGGGGACACAACCCTAAGACGGGAGGCAGCACGCCAAATAGGGCCACATGCCTTCCCTGGATCCTCATTCTCTTGAGGATACTCACAGAAAGGCAACAGCCCCCGGCCCCCGGTGAATTCCTTCATCACGGCATATTTATCCTTGCAGACAGGAGGTAGACAGGTGTGGGAAGGGAAGCAGACCAGTCCAACCCCATGGTTCCCACTTCCCTGGGCCCCCTCGCCTACTGTACAGCCAGAGCTCCTTGGACATCAGCTCCCTCTGGGTCTGAAGGAGTATCTGCAGCCTGCGGTCTGTCCTCATGTGCTCCACATGCCCAGCTCTGACAAGGAAAGGCTGGGATGTCCACAGGGCTGGAGAGGTTCTGCCAGGTTGGGGGGCCCCTGTCCCATATCACACCCTCCTTTAGAAACCAAGGCCATCCAAATGGTCTTGGTCTCAAGCTCTGTCTACCACTAGCACCCATTCACGGCTTCAGTCATGCCTTATAGTATTGCCTGTGTGAAGAACATAAACTCTAGAGTTGGGCAGACCTGGTTCAAATCCTGGCTCTGGCCAGTTACTAGCTGGGTGACACAGGCAGGCTACTTAAACCTCCAAGCCTCAGTTTTTTCATCTATAAAATAGAGCCACTAATACCTATGTAATAAGTTAGAGTGAAAATTAAAAGTTTCTAAATATAAAATGCCAAGCCCTCAATAAATATAAGGGGCCCTCAATAAATAAAAACTATTGTTAAATAAACATACACAAAGCAGTCACTAGGTGTATCAGGCACTGCACTAGTTAGCTAGTGCAATAAAGAGATGAGAAAATTATCTCTGTCTTTGAGGAGCTCTCAGTCCAGAGGGCAGGCAGGCACACTGCATTCTTCATTTGGAATCAGGAGTACTAAGTGTGCCCTCAGGGCCATGGCAGCAGATGGGCTTAGCCATTAAGGGAGTCTGGGAAGGCTCTCCAGAGGAGGTGATCCGGGGTTTCAAGGATGGGAAGAAATTCGCTAAGGCAGAAAAGGTGGAGGGAGGAGACAGGGGGCCTTTCAGATTTTGTACAGAGGCCACAGAAGAATTCATCTGAAACTCTAAGAACTAACCTGCCTTCCCAGAGCTTCATGAGCAGAGGTTACAGAATCCAAAAGCAACTTTTCTTTTCTTTTTTGGGATGGAGTCTTGCTCTGTTACCCAGGCTGGAGTGCAATGGCAGGACCTCCACTTACTGCAACCTCAACCTCCCGGGTTCATGCGATTCTCCTGCCTCAGCCTCCCAAGTAGCTGGGATTACAGGTGCCCACCACTACGCCCAGCTAATTTTTTGTATTTTTAGTAGAGATAGGGTTTCACTATGTTGGCCAGGCTGGTCTCGAACTCTTGACTTCAGGCAATCCACCTGCCTCAGTCTCCCAAAGCACTGGGATTATAGGCGTGAGCCACCATGCCCAGCCTCCAAAAGCAATTTTTTTTACACACCCAGCCCTGCCCACCTCACAATCCCACCCCAGTGCAGAGTCGCAGTATTCTTGGTGCCCTCAAGTGGTGGAGTTGCAAACTGCAGCAGAGACTGAGGAGCAAAGGTCCCAGGGCTATCAGATCCACCCCAACTACAGGTGAGCTGAGGAGTAGCTTCCACTTAAACGCAAACCTCCGCCTACACTATCAATCCTAATGCTGATTTCAGAGGCCTCACTAAGGCAGAGCACAGGGACTGGCGCTGGCCCCGGAGGGAAGGGATGGGATTTCATGCTGATGCTGCTCCTGCTACTGCTGTCAGGAGACCAGACGCTTGGCTCCATTAGACAGCATTGTGAGGAGGTCTCCTGGTTTTCTGAGAAGCTCCCGTTCCATCCCACACTACAGAGACAAAGGATCAGGACCGGACCTCAGACTGGCAAGAAAGCTTCTTAAGAGACAGAAGAGCAGAGGCAGAGGGATGTCTTACAGTCACCAGCAAGAGGACGAGGCATTCATTCATTTGACAATTTCAGGCCCTATGCTAGGCCACTAAGACTAAAGCTGGCCACAATAAGGAACCACCAACTTCAGAAGCAAACCCCTGTACCTTAGGACGAGGCAGACAAGGGCAGGGGGAGGTAGAGGGAGAGGGTCACAGCCAAGTGTGACAACACTCAGCCCCTGAGCTCGGTGGTGGTGGGAGAGTTGTAGGATTCATCTTTCCTTCTCCACTCTCAGCTCTGGCAAGGCAGAAGGGGAACCATCTCTCCAGACTCACCTGTAGAAAGCGGCAGGCTCCGCATTCACCCGAATCTGCATGTGCTTGAACCTGGGCGGACCAAAGGGAAATGTGTGCTGACCACAGGGAGTACTGGCCCCACTCCTGTTGGAGTCCTGGATCAAGAAGACCCCCGCCAAGTGGAGCCCAGCTCTGCCTGAAAACTGTGGCTGCCTCAGTCTGACCCTTTCCTGGACTGTTACTGGGTAGAAAACCCCGGGGCTAGGTGGTGTGGCAGGAGCTCTGCAGAGACAGGGCTGCCCCTCAGCTTTCTGCAGAGAGGACGGGGGTATTCCTGCTCACGGCATCTCCTCCTCCCAGGGCCTGGCCTGAAGGAGGGGGACAAGAAGCACAGGGTAGGCGCTGGATCCATCGGCTGCTACGCCCAACTGATCCAAGACAGGGTGGTTACGCCAGGGCAGTGAGAAGGCTAAGAGATGACAATGATGATGGTGATGGCCAGCCAGACACGGTTCTCAGTCCTTCTCAGGTATGATCTCATTAATCCTCCCAATCCTCTTGGTAGGCAACGGTACCATTTCCACTTTGGAGACAAGAACATTGAAGCCTGGAGAGGTTAAAGACCTCTCCAAGATCACACAGCTAGTAACTGGCACAGCTAGGATTTGAACTTAGGCAGTCTTACTCCACATCCCCTTCTTTAACCATTATGCCCCAGCCCAGAAACCTCAGGTGAGGGAGACACACCTAAAATCTCCCTCCAGCTTCTCCTGATGCACCAGCTTCGTCACAATGGGGCTCATCAAAGTTTTGTTCACCATGGTCCCCAGGATGAAATACCCAAAGATGCTCACAGGCCCGAGCCAGCCTGTGCTGAAATAGAGAGAGGGAGAGAGGGTGTGGGGTGCCACCTATCCCCACAGGCCTCAGCCCTTATTCCTGTACCCTCTTGGGTAGCCCCTGTCAATCTGAGTAGCCCACTGGGCCGTCTGCTCCTATGTGGGAGCATCTGGCATGAGCTGTCAGAGCCAGGATACCTGTGACACTGCAACAACACAGAGCCAAAGGAAGGGCAGGGGCCTGAGCACAGGGGATGGGAAGACTCCCTAAGGTTTAGGTGGGAGAGAAGGGAAATAAGCTTCTCTTGGACCTTGACCTGGGAGAGCTGAGGACTCTCTGGAAACACCAGGCTGGGGAGGAGGGAGGCTTCACCTTTGGAAGCACTGGTAAGTATAGTAGACGAGGATGAATGGGGAGACGATCAGCTTGCTGGCCATGCTGCTGAGCTGCCGGCAGAATCGCTCCACATCCTGGCTGATGCGCTGGTCCCTGGAGCCAACGACACAGAGTAGCTGGACCCAGGGAGATGGGCCCAAAGGTGGAGAGAGCAAGACACTTTCACATCACCTCTGCTCCTGACCTTGCCTCGCAGTACTGTGAGCACTGACCCTGTGGGAAGAGGGAACCAGACAAGGCTGGTTGCCTAGGGGCAACTAAATCCTGGGGCCTTTAAACAGGGTTTTAGAGAGTTGCACCTTACGGTGCCTCAGTTAATCCCCTGAAAAAGCGGGAACTGAAAGGTCCAGCACCCAGGGGTCTGAGCCAGCTCTGAGCAGAGCCAAAGAAAAACTTGAAGGTAGATGAGCTGCTTTTTTTGGATGATGAAGAAAACTATCCCCTTTATCTCAATCTTCCCAAATTTCTCTTATATAAACCCTACCCTGGCCCCTGTAGTTATCTGGCTGTGAAAGCTCCAGGCTGTGAGGCATACCTGTAGTACCAGCTCCTCCGGGGGCAAAGGCAGGATGGGAGCCATAGCCATCAGAAAGGGGCCTAGAAGTTAGGTAGCAGCAGCAGCCTCCCAGGCATCTTTGCACCAAAGCTCAGCTTGAGCTGAGAGGCACCCCAGGCAACAAAGTGCTTGCTAGGAAGGCGGTAAGTGAGGGGATGGGTGTGAAGGAGACCCCATATGTCTCATCTCACCACTAGGGCTATACTGCTTCCTATTTCCAATGAGCGACGTGACCTTGGGCAAGTCACCTGCAATCTCTGGGCTTCAGCTTCCTCATCTGTAAAATAACAATAGCTAACTTACAGTGGAACACTTGCTATGTGTCAGGCACTGTACATGTGCATTACATGAATGATATCATTTCATCCTCACTACATCCTTTGAGATAGGAACTATTATCATCCTCATTTTACAGAAGGGGAACCTGGGGCTTGGTGACTTTAAGAGCTATAAGCTGAGTGGTGATAGAATGGGATTTGAATCCTAGACTGAGTCCTGGATAGCGGTATTTTTTTTACTGATGAAAATCTAAGAGCTAGTTTTTCTAGCAAGGACATTTTCTTTAGAGGGTGCCTTACTGGAAGACTAAGATATAAAAAATGAAAAGGACAAAAGGAAGCTGCTCCTGACATTTTTTTTTAAGAGGTGGGGGTTTCTGCTATGCTGCCTAGGCTAGAGTACAGTGGCTATTCCCAAGCGTGCTCACGGTGTGCTACTGCTGGACTCAAGTGATCCTCCTGCCTCAGCCTCCTAAGTTGTTGGGACTACAGGTGCATGCCACTGCACCTGGCAGGCTCCTTTTTAGCAGCCTGCAGCTTCTCCAGGGGTCCTCTGCAGGGCACCCTCCCCCATGACTCTGGGCAGCAGCATTTGAAAACAACTGTAGACATCTCCATGGGGTCTGCCGCCAGGAGTCTCCAGGGCTAGGCCAGATGGAAAGGACCACACAGAGTATAGAAAGGACTGAGTTGGGGCACCTACGGGTTATCGATGTCATCCCGCAGCACATTGAGGGTGTAGTACACACGGCCCCGGAAGTAGAGGCAGTGGAGGTGCTCAGTGAGGTCCTTCCTCCAGCTCACATACAGCAGGTTGCAGGTGAACTGATCAAAGCTCTTCAGCTGTGCAGTGGGGGAAGCAAGCGGAAGGGAGAGATGGCTTCCTGAAAATCTCAGCTCAAAGCTCATGGCTGGCAAGAGCCTCCACTGACCCATCCCAGCCTACTCTGACTCTGATTACTCTGTCCACTCAGCTCTTTTCTTGTTTAAATCATCAAGTCATGAGACTTTCCCTTCCTCACTCACTGACTCACATGTTCATTCCTGCACCAAAGTTTTCTTTTTTTTTTTTTTGAGACAGAGTCTCGCTCTGTCACCCAGGCTGGAGTGCAGTGGCGGGATCTCAGCTCACTGCAAGCTCCGCCTCCCGGGTTTACACCATTCTCCTGTCTCAGCCTCCCGAGTAGCTGGGACTACAGGCGCCCGCCACCTCGCCCGGCTAATTTTTTGTATTTTTTAGTAGAGACGGGGTTTCACCGTGTTAGCCAGGATGGTCTCGATCTCCTGACCTCGTGATCCACCCGTCTCGGCCTCCCAAAGTGCTGGGATTACAGGCGTGAGCCACCGCGCCCGGCCAAGTTTTCTTTTTTTTTGAGACGGAGTTTTACTCTTGTTGCCCAGGCTGGAGTGCAATGGCGTGATCTTGGCTCACCACAACCTCCGCCTCCCAGTTTCAAGCGATTCTCCTGCCTCACCCTCCTGAGTAGCTGGGATTACAGGCAGGTGCCACCATGCCCAGCTAATTTTGTATTTTTCGTAGAGACGGGGTTTCTCCATGTTGGTCAGGCTGGTCTGGAATTCCTGACCTCAGGTGATCTGCCCGCCTCGGCCTCCCAAAGTGCTGGGATTACAGGCGTGAGCCACCACGCCCGGCCTCCTTCACCAAACATTAAAGGGCTTACCAGAGGCAAGACCCTCAAGCCTCTTTCTACACTGTGTTATTTTGAGAGTAGATGAGCTTCTGAAAACTGGAGACCATATTGTCGATTCCATTTAGTTCTTACTCCTTTGTCCCCCAAGCTTGGGACAGAGATTTGTATGCATAGGTGCTTACTGAACGAACACCCAACAAAAGTGGCCACGGTATGACGAGAAGTGGCTTCCCCCAAAAAAACAGGTGGTACAGCCTGGCAGAGAGCATTAGGCTTGAGTTCTGGCAGAGCCTTGAGTCTGCCAGACTCATTTACCACTTCCAGAGCAACTATGTGCTAAGCACTAGGGACATCATGAACTCACAGTTTAGCCAGAAAACAATTACAAGGGTGTAAGGAGTGTTACAACAGAGGTAAACTCAAGGAATTAGTTAAGTACAGAAAAAGGGTAGAGTTTGGTGGAGGCGACACAAAGGAGAAAGCTGAGGAAGACCTGAAAGAGGTGACAACGGAGGGATGATGAAAAGTGAGCAGGTGGTAGCCCCCTACTGAATGAGGGGTAGGGGAGGGGGCCATTGTGCAAGAAAGCACCAGTTCAAAGGCTGGGAGGTGTGACATGGTGCCAGGATAAGTCACAGCCTCGGTCCCACAGAGGAGGAGCAGCAGCTCTGGCTGCCGAGCCCAGTTTTAATGAGCTGCCGGAAACAAGAGTTCTAGGAAGGAAAGGGGCAATGATCAGTTCTGCTAAATGCTGATTTAAACCAGAACCTGTGGCCTGGGCCCAGGAGTTGAAACATCTGAGGAATCAATTCCACGTGGGCCAGTAGCAAGATCAATGTGCTTAATAAGGGCAACTATGCCTTTAGTTCCCAGAAAAGGGAGGAAACACACCCCTATAGCTTGCTTCCTGCTTCCTGGAGGCTAAGTCCCACTAGGCATTACAATCACACTGGACTGGAGAGGAAGAGAGACACAGAGTGAGGGAAAGATCTTACCGTGGAGTTCAGAACAATGAGCATGACAGCCAGGAATGTCAGAGCCTTAAACCCTTCCAAGTCTTTGTTTCCCAGGACACCATAGTACTGACTGGGGATCAAGCCAACTTGGTAGATCACCAATTGTTCTGAAAGGAGGGAGAGGAGTAAGAAATCAGTGATGAGGGGTTAAAAAGAAGTGAGGCTTCTTCCTGAGTCCCTGCCTCACCAGCACCCCAAAGAGATGAAAAGGGGCTGGGCACGGTGGCTCACGCCTGTAATCCCACCACTTTGGGAGGCTGAGGAGGGTGTATCACCTGAGGTCAGGAGTTCGAGATCAGCCTGGCCAAGATGGTGAAACCCTGTCTCTACTAAAAAATACAAAGATTAGCCGGGCGTGGTGATGGGTGCTTGTAATCCCAGCTACTCTGGAAGCTGAGGCAGGAGAATCGCTTGAACCAGGAAGGCAGAGGTTGCAGTGAGCTGAGATCGTGCCACTGCACTCCAGCCTGGGGCAACGAGAGAGAAATTCTGTCTCAGAAAAAAAAAAAAAAAAGATGGAAAGGGACCCCAAACAAGAGCTCCCCTCTCTCCTCTAGTCTGGGCTCACTCGCTCACCCAGTAGGGTCAGGCACAAAAGGGTCAGGAACATCAAGGCATTCTGTGATGACCAAGAAGGAAACAAAACCTTCAGTATCTGCAGGAACCGCTGGAGAAATTGCAGATCCAACCTCGGCCTGAAGAGAAGGTGGGGAGGCAGAGAAAAGCCCAAGATGTAATTAAGCCTTAGGAAGTAGTTATTAAGCGTATCCACATTGTTCTGCAAAGGGTCCAGGCCATGCAGAAAGAATGGTTTCCAAATGCTGAAGATGGTAGGCTGGGAACAGACCATGGATACAAAGGAAATTCTTTGGCCAAGCATGGTGGCTCATGCCTGTAATCCAAGCACTTTGGGAGGCCGAGGCAAGAGGATTGCTTGAGGCCAGGAGTTTGAGACCAGCCTGGCCAACATGGTGAAACCCCATCTCTACTAAAAACACAAAATCAGTTGGGCATGGTGGCACACGCCTGTAATCCCAGCTATTTGGGAGGCTGAGGCAGGAGAATCGCATGAACCCAAGAGGCAGAAGTTGAAGTGAGCTGAGATCATGCCACTGCACTTTAGCCTGGGCAACAGAGCGAGACTCCATCTCAAAAAACAAAACTGGTACTGGCAGATGATGTGATCATTTACACAGGAAACAAGCAAATTGACAGACAAACTGTTGAAAATAAAGAGTTTACCAATGTCATTAGATATACAAATATCAATAGTGTTCTTCTATACCAGCAATAATCAATTATAAAATATAAAGAAAATAAGTAAAAAACCTACAGAAAAACTATCAAATATCCAGGAGTTAACTTTTACATATTGGCCGGGTGCAGTGTCTCACGCCTGTAATCCCAGCACTTTGGGAGGCTGAGGCGGGTGGACTACCTGAGCTCAGGAGTCCGAGACCTCCCTGGGCAACATAGTGAAATCCCATCTCTACTAAAATACAAAAAATTAGCCGGGCGTGGCAGCATGCGCCTGTAGTCCCAGCTACTCCGGAGGCTGAGACAGGAGAATTGCTAGAACCCTTGAGGCAGAGGTTTCAGTGAGCTGAGATGGCACCACTGCACTCCAGCCTGGGTGACAAAGCGAGACTCCGTCTCTTAAAAAAACAAATAAATAAAATAACATATTAGACATTTTAGAGGGAAAATGAAAAGCTCTATTGTAGGACATGAAAGAAGACCTAGAAAGACAGGCCTGGCTTGACCCAACATTATGAAGACCTCAGTTCTTTCTTTCTTTTCTTTTTTTGAGATGGAGTCTCCCTCTGTTGCCTAGGCTGGAGTGCAGTGGTGTGGTCTCAGGTCACTGCACCCTCCTCCTCCCAGGTTCAAGCGATTCTCCTGCCTCAGCCTCCCAAGTAGCTGGGATTACAGGTGCCTGCCACCACCCCTGGCTAATTTTTTATATTTTTAGTAGAGACAGGGTTTCACCATGTTGGCCAGGCTGGTCTCAAACTCATGATCTGCCCGCCTCAGCCTCCCAAAGCACTGGGATTACAGGCATGACCCACCGCGTCCAGCCCAAAGACCTCAGTTCTAACAAAAGCAGTCTATAGGTCGGGCGTGGTGACTTACGTCTGTAATCCCAGTACTTTGGGAGGCCCAGAGAGGCGGATCACTTGAGCCCACGAGTTTGAGACCACCCTGGGCATCATGGCAAAACCCTGTCTCTACAAAAAATACAAGAATTAGTCGGGCATGGTGGCGCACACCTATAGTCCCAGCTACTCAGAGGGCTGAGGCAAGAGGATTGCTTGAGCCCAGGAAGTCAAGGCTGCAGTGAACAGAAATCTTGCCACTGCACTCCAGCCTGGGTGATAGAGCAAGACCCTGTCTCAAAAAAAGCAAAAAACAAAAGCAATCTATAAATTCATTGTAATACCAATCAAAAGCAGGACTTCTCTGAGGAACTTTGTATGGAAATATAAAAGGTCCCTAGCTTAGGGCAATTATGAAAAACAGGAGAGGAGGAGGAAGAGACCCAAACCATCAGGTTATTAAGACATATCAAATTACAGCGCTAGAATAATACTACAGTATTAACACAAGAACAAAAAGACCAACAGGACAGACCAAAAAAACCCTACAAAAACCACGCACAAAAAACCCACAGAACAAACACCTATGTTCACATAGGCACACAATAGAGGTTACAACACAAGAAAGGACACATTAATACTAATAACTGCCAGCACTTATGAAGCATGCACTATGTGCCCTATTCTAAATGTTTTACATGTGTAATTCATTTAATGGCCATGACCCTAGGAAATAGGGACTATATCTTATATTATGGATGAGGAACGGAGGCAAAAAGGGGTGAAGTAACTTGTCTTGTGTCACCCACCTGGTGAGTGGCAGCCTTAGAGCTTGAACACAGTCAACCTGCTCCAAGAATCTGCACTCTTGACTATGCTATACAGCTTCTCTAATTTTTAACTAATTAATTAGTTATTAATTGGGTCAGGTGTGGTGGTAATCAAAAACAGTGGAAAAAATCTTAGGTCATTATCTCAAACCATTTACAAAAATAAACTTAAGGCCTGGAGCAATGGCTCATGCTTGTAATCCCAACACTCTGGGAGGCCGAGGTGGGCGGATCACCTGAGGTCAGGAGTTCGAGACCAGTCTGACCAACATGGTGAAACCCCATCTCTACTAAAAATACAAAATTAGCCAGGCCTGGTGGCACATGCCTGTAATCCCAGCTACTTGGGAGGCTGAGGCAGGAGAACTGCTTGAACTCGGGAGGCAGAAGTTGCAGTGAGCCGAGATTGTGCCATTGCAACAAGAACCTGGGCAACAAGAGCGAAACTCCGTCCCCAAAAGAAAAAAAAAAAACCTTAAAAAACTACAAATGGATTAAAAATCTAAATGTGAAAAGTAACACTATTATGTTAGTAGAAAGAAATGTAGAAAAATATCTTAATGAAGGTACCTTAAAAACCTATACAAGGGAAATTGATGAATTTAACTTCATTAGAGTTAAATGTTTTTATTCAACACAGTGCCATAGATTAAGTTAAAAGACTTGGAGGTGGTATCTGCAGAGTGCAAAACCAACAAGGACTTTAAATCTCTCTTTTTTTTTTTTGAGACAGAGTTTTGCTCATTGCCCAGACTGGAGTGCAATGGCGCGATCTCAGCTCACTGCAACCTCCAACTCCCCGGTTCAAGAGATTCTCCTGTCTCAGCCTCCTGACAAGCTGCGATTACAGGCGCATGTCTCTACACCCGGCTATTTTTGTATTTTTAGTAGAGACAGGGTTTCATCATATTGGTCAGGCTGGTCTCGAACTCCTGACCTCAGGTGATCTGCCTGCCTCGGCCTCCCAAAGTGCTGGGATTACAGGCGCGAGCCACAGCGCCTGGCCTAAAATCTTTTTTTTTTTTTTTTGAGACAAGGTCTTGCTCTGTTGCCCAGGCTGCAGTGGTGCAATCTCAGCTCGGGGCAACCTCTGCCTCCCAGGTTCAAGCGATTCTCCCACCTCAGCCTCTTTAGTGGCTGGGAGTACGGACGTGCGTCAACACGCTCAGCTAATTTTTGTATTTTTGGTAGAGATGGGGTTTCACCATGTTGCCCAGACTAGTCTGGAACTCCTGGACTCCAGTGGTGCAACCACCTCAGCCTCCCAAAGTGCTAGAATGACAGGTGTGAGCCACCGGGCATGGCCAGGATGTAATATCTAGAGCCTACAAGAATTCCTGCAAGCCAGGAACATAGGAAATCCATAGAGAAGTGGGAAAGGATATAAACAGGCGATTCAAAAAAGGGAAAACCCACATGTTTAATAAACACATGAAAATGCAGGCCGGGCGCAGTGGCTCACGTCTGTAATCCCTGCACTTTGGGAGGCCGAGACGGGTGGATCACCTGAGGTCCGGAGTTCGAGACCAGACTGGTCAACCCCCCGTCTTTACTAAAATACAAAAAATTAGCTGGGTATAGTGGCGCACGCCTGTAATCCCAGCTACTCAGGAGGCTGAGGCAGAAGAATCGCTTGAACCCGAGAGGCGGAGGTTGCAGTGAGCCGAGATCGTGCCACTGTACTCCAGCCCAGGCAACAAGAGCAAAACTCTGTCTCAAAAAAAAAAAAAAGGAAAGAAAGAAAGAAAGAAAGAAAGAAAGAAAGAAAAGAAAGAAAAGAAGGCCGGGCGCGGTGGCTCAAGCCTGTAATCCCAGCACTTTGGGAGGCCGAGACGGGCGGATCATGAGGTCAGGAGATCGAGACCATCCTGGCTGACACGGTGAAACCCCGTCTCTACTAAAAAATACAAAAAACTAGCCGGGCGAGGTGGCGGGCGCCTGTAGTCCCAGATACTCGGGAGGCTGAGGCAGGAGAATGGCGTGAACCCGGGATGTGGAGCTTGCAGTGAGCCGAGATCTGGCCACTGCACTCCAGCCTGGGCGGCAGAGCGAGACTCCGTCTCAAAAAAAAAAAAAAAAAAAAAAAAAAAAAAAAAAAAAAAGAAAGAAAAGAAAGAAAAGAAAGAAAGAAAGAAAGAAAGAAAAAATGTACACGATGGGATACCACCTTACACCCACCAGACTGATAAACATTACAAAACCTGGCCGGGCGCGGTGGCTCAAGCCTGTAATCCCAGTACTTTGGGAGGCCGAGACGGGTGGATCACGAGGTCAGGAGATCGAGACCATCCTGGCTAACACGGTGAAACCCTGTCTCTACTAAAAAATACAAAAAACTAGCCGGGCGAGGTGGCGGGTGCCTGTAGTCCCAGCTACTCGGGAGGCTGAGGCAGGAGAATGACGTGAACCTGGGAGGCGGAGCTTGCAGTGAGCTGAGATCCGGCCACTGCACTCCAGCCTGGGCAACAGAGCGAGACTCCGTCTCAAACAAACAAACAAAAAACAAAAAAAACAACATTACAAAACCAACCACCACTGGACGATGGAGGGATACTGGGAAACAGGAAGCTTTAGGTACTATCCGTCGTGAAGTATAAACTGGTGTGACCATTCCAAAGAACAATCCAGCAAAATTAGCTATGACCAGGACCCAACTCTGGGGTGGATACCCAGAGAAATGCACCAATATCCACAAGGAGACAACTGCCAGAATATTCATGACAGTGTGGCCTCTAGGGTGTTAATATTAGAAAAAACTCTAGATGGCCGGGTGCGGTGGCTCAAGCCTGTAATCCCAGCACTTTGGGAGGCCGAGACGGGCGGATCACGAGGTCAGGAAATCAAGACCATCCTGGCTAACAAGGTGAAACCCCGTCTCTACTAAAAAATACAGAAAACTGGCCGGGCGCGGTGGCTCAAGCCTGTAATCCCAGCACTTTGGGAGGCCGAGACGGGCGGATCACGAGGTCAGGAGATCGAGAAACCAGCCCGGCTAACACGGTGAAACCCCGTCTCTACTAAAAAAATACAAAAAAACTAGCCGGGCGAGGTGGCGGGCGCCTGTAGTCCCAGCTACTCGGGAGGCTGAGGCAGGAGAATGGCGTAAACCCGGGAGGCGGAGCTTGCAGTGAGCTGAGATCCGGCCACTGCACTCCAGCCTGGGCGACAGAGCGAGACTCCGTCTCAAAAAAAAAAAAAAAAAAAAAAAAAAAAAAAAAAAAAAAAAGAAAAGAAAAGAAAATAAAAAAAAGAAAAAAATCTAGGTATCCACCACTAGGGGAATAAGTCTATGCACATAGCAGCACTCAGAAGTGAAAACGAGATGACTAGCCTGGATGGACTCAAAAACACAACGTTGGGAAAAAAGGTTTAAAGAAAAATCACAGCATATTATCTAGGAATTCGAAACCACTATATAGATTTCAAAGTAACACGTGCACAAATTTACACAAGTTGGACCGTAAAGCCACTTATATAACACACCAGAGTGGCTGTCTGAAAAGGGGAGTGAAAGGGGTCTGGGAATAGGAACGAAGAGAGGAAGTGATAAAATAAACAAGGAGCCTTGCATTGGCCCACAGGGTGTCAAGAACTGAGAAGGATTAACTCAATTTTGTGCACCTGAGGTTCTTTTTTCAAAAAAGGAAAGCCAGTTGCGAGAGAGAGGGTCCCACACCGGGTGCAGGAGATGGCACAAGTCCAGCCAAGAACCGAGGGGGCCGCGGCCGGTGCGGAACGGCCTCGAGCCGCGGGAGGGCGGACGCCCCTTCAAGAGCTCCTCTTTCTCTCAGAAGTCGTGGGTGCGAGACGGAGGCGCCAGGGCGTCGGACGACGCACGGTGGGCAGGAGAGCCCATTCCCCACAGCCCCGATCTCCTGCTCCCAAACCTCCTCCCCGACCGCCCTGCTTACCTGGAGCCAGCTCCGGGCGCTGGCCCCGGGACCGCCATGACCTGAGACCCGAGGGACTCTGGAACCCGGCGGCCCCGAGTTCAGCACTGGGCAGAGTCCGGGGAAACGGGGCGGGGCGGGGGGGGGCGGCGGGGCGGGGGGGGGCGGGGGGGGGCGGCGGGGCGGGGGGGGGCGGCGGGGGCGGGGACCACAGAGACGGCGGCGGATAGAGAGGAAGGCGCGGGAGACGCGGCCTCTCCCGGAAGCGACCGACGTCTCTAAACGTACCAGAGAGTGGACTCGTCTGACCCGGCGGCTACAGCGCCCCCATCTTTTCTGGGAGGCTTCCCTTTTGACAATAGGTCGCCGAGAGTGTAACTACCTTATGGCAAGTATTTTAGATTCTGAGTATAATAGATGTTTTATATATTCTCCCAGAGGAGCCAGCATGATCTTTAAAAAAGTATAAATTAGGCTTCCAGCTGGGCGCGGTGGCTCACTCCTGCAATCCCAGCACTTTGGGAGGCCAAGGCGGGAGGATCGCTTGAGCCCAGGAGTTCGAGACCAGCCTGGGCAACATGGCAAGACCCCGCCTTTACAAAAGATAAAAGATAAAAACATTAGCCGGGGATGGTGGCGAGCGCCTGTGGTGCGAGCTACTCTGGAGGCTGAGGCAGGAGAATCACTTGGGCTCGGAAGGTCAAGGCTGCAGTGAGCCGTGATTGTGCCACTGCACTCCAGCCTGGGTGACAGAGAGAGACCCTGTCTCAAAAATAAATAAATAGATGATGATGATCGATGGATAAGATAGATAGTTGAATGAATGAAATGCTTATCAGTTGACTGATTAGTACCCAAAGGGAGGTGGGAAATGGCTCAAAAACAAAACAAACAAACAAACAAACAAACAAAACCCGCATGATCTCACAGGTCCCTAAATTTGAATCTGGATGTATCTTCTCACTTTCCTTCAATCCTTATTAAGTTTCAACAGCATGCCAAACACTCCACAACATACATGTATCACTTGTCTTTATGGAAGTTGCAGTCTAGCTGGGTAGGTCAACCAGTTGACAATTACAGCTGTCTATTTTTTTATTTTGAGACTGAGTCTTGCTCTTGTTGACCCGGCTAGAGTGCAATGGCGTGATATCGGCTCACTGCAACCTCAGCCTCCCGGGTTCAAGCGATTCTCCTACCTCAGCCTCCCGAGTAGCTAGGACTACAGGCATGTGCAACCATGCCCTGCTAATTTTGTATTTTTAGTAGAGACCAGGTTTCTCCATGTTGGTCAGGCTGGTCTCGAACTCCCGACCTCAGTTGATCCGCCCACCTCGGCCTCTCAAAGTGCTGGGATTACAGGTGTGAATCACCGCGCCTGGCCTACAGCTGTCTTTATGAAGTGCTGTGACAAACATATCTTACAGCAGGGGTTCTCAGCGTTGGCGCCATTAAGTTTTGGGGCCTGATCATTCTTTGTTGAGTAGGCTTTCCTCTGCAATGTAGAATGTTTAGCTGTATCCCAGGCCTCTACCCACTAGATGCCAGTAGCATTCCCTGTGACCCAGGCATCCCAAAATGTCTCTAAACATTGCCAAATGTCCCTTGGGGAGAAAGGACCAAAATTCCAGCTTTACTGGAATGGAACTTTACTCCACCCCCTAGCATTGAGAACCACTGCCCCAGAACCAAAGAGAGGCATTTAACTCAGCAGTGGAATCTAGGAAGACTTTGAAGAGGAAATAACTTTATTCAAGTATGTCTTTCTTATTTTGAAAACCAAAAAAGTAGGATACAATTTTTGAAAAATTAATAAGGCAACCAAAGTATTAAAGCAAGCAACCTCACCTCTCTAGGGTAATTTAGGTTTACAGATCTTGTCCCCTTTCACTCTAAAAAATGTCCTAGTTTGGGCCGGGCGCGGTGGCTCAAGCCTGTAATCCCAGCACTTTGGGAGGCCGAGACGGGTGGATCACAAGGTCAGGAGATCGAGACCATCCTGGCTAACACGGTGAAACCCCCTCTCTACTAAAAAATACAAAAAACTAGCCAGGCGAGGTGGTGGGCGCCTGTAGTCCCAGCTACTCGGGAGGCTGAGGCAGGAGAATGGCATAAACCCGGGAGGCGGAGCTTGCAGTGAGCTGAGATCCGGCCACTGCACTCCAGCCTGGGGGACAGAGCGAGACTCCGTCTCAAAAAAAGAAAAAAAAAAAAAGAAGTAGCAGGCCGGGCAGGGCGGCTCACGCTTGTAATCCCAGCACTTTGGGAGGCTGAGGCGGGCAAATAACCTGAGGTAAGGAGTTCAAGACCAGCCTGGCCAACATGGTGAAATCCCATCTTTACTATAAATACAAAAATTAGCCAGGTGTGGTGGCGGCACATGTAATCCCATCCACTTGGGAGGCTGAGGCAGGAGAATTGCTTGAACCCGGGAGGTGGAGGTTGCAGTGAGCTGAGATTGTGCCATTGCACTCCAGCCTGGGTGACAGAGTGAGACTCTATTTCAAAAAAAAAAAAAAAAAAAAGAAGAAGAAAAAGAAGAAGAAGTAATACACCAGCGTTGCCAGTGAGAAAGCAGGAGGGTGTTTGGCTACTGGAGTGCAGTGGAGGACAGCAATGCGCAAATCAAAGGAACTTGCTTCTTCAAGCTCTTCTAGCAGTGGTTCTGACAGTGATGTTGACAAAAAGTTAAAGAGGAAAAAGCAGGTTGCTCCAGAAAGACCTGTAAAGAAGCAAAAGACTGGTGAAACTTGAAGAGCTCTGTCATCTTCCAAAGAGAACAGCAGCAGCAGCACAGATGAAAACCTGATGTTTCAGGTTAGGAAAATGAAGTACATTAGTGTGTGGGATTTTTTTTTTTTTTTTTAGACTTGTCCCCCAAGGCTGGAGTGCAATGGCATGATCTTGGCTCACTGCAACCTCTGCCTCCGGGGTTCAAGTGATTCTCCTGCCTCAGCCTCCCAAGTAGCTGGGACTGCATGCACTCACCACCATGCCTGGCTAATTTCTGTCTTTTATGTTGAGACGGGGTTTCACCATGTTGGCCAGGCTGGTCTCGAACTCCTGACCTCAACTGATCTGCCTGCCTTGACCTCCCAAAGTGCTAGGATTACAGGTGTGAGCCACCATGCCGCGCCAGTGTTTGGGATTTTAAAGGGGAATTGATATTAGATAATTGGATGGATCCAGAAGGTGAAATGAAACCAGGAAGAGAAGGTATTTCCTTGAATCTGGAGCAAAGGAGCCAGCTGAAGGAACAGATTTTTTAAAATTTAAATTTAAGTTTAAGATTTTTTAAAATTTAAATTTAAAGATTTTATATATATATATATATATATACACACACACACACATATATATATATATACGCACACATTTTTTTTTATTTTTATTTTGAGACAGAGTCTTGCTCTGTTACCCAGGCTGGAGTGCAGTGGTGGGATCACAGCTCACTGTAGCCTCCATCTCCTGGGCTCAAGTGATCCACCTCAGCCTCCCTAGTAGCTGGGACTATAGGTGCTTGCTGGCATCACACACAGCTAATTAAAAAAAAAATTTTTGGCCGGGCGCGGTGGCTCAAGCCTGTAATCCCAGCACTTTGGGAGGCCGAGACGGGCGGATCACGAGGTCAGGAGATCGAGACCATCCTGGCTAACCCGGTGAAACCCCGTCTCTACTAAAAAAAATACAAAAAACTAGCCGGGCGAGGTGGCGGGCGCCTGTAATCCCAGCTACTCGGGAGGCTGAGGCAGGAGAATGGCGTAAACCCGGGAGGCGGAGCTTGCAGTGAGCTGAGATCCGGCCACTGCATTCCAGCCTGGGCGACAGAGCGAGACTCCGTTTCAAAAAAAAAAAAAAAAATTTTTTTGGCCGGGTGCGGTGGCTCAAGCCTGTAATCCCAGCACTTTGGGAGGCCGAGATGGGCGGATCACGAGGTCAGGAGATCGAGACCATCCTGGCTAACATGGTGAAACCCCGTCTCTACTAAAAAAAATACAAAAAATTAGCCGGGCGTGGTGGCGGGCGTCTGTAGTCCTAGCTACTTGGGAGGCTGAGGCAGGAGAATGGCATAAACCCGGCAGGCGGAGCTTGCAGTGAGCTGAGATCCGGCCACTGCACTCCAGCTTGGGCGACAGAGCGAGACTCTGTCTCAAAAAAAAAAAAAAAAAAAAAATTTTCTTTGTAGAGAAGGCAAGTGTGGGGTGAGGTGTCTCACTGTGTTGTTCAGGCTAGTCTTGAATCCTAGGCTCAAGTAATCCACCTTTGCCTCCCTAAGTGCTGGGATTATGGGTGTGAGCCACTGCACCTGGCCAGGAACAGATTTCTGACACTGATGATGCAGTTAAGAAAACTGTGAAATCCAAGCCGTATAAAACCTATACTGTTCTAATTGTACTTGGTTTGTGTGTGTGTGTGTGTGTGTTTTTTTTTTTTTTTTGTTTTGTTTTTGACAGGTTCTTGCTCTGTGGTCCAGGTAGAGTGCAGTGGGATAATAATCATGGCTCACTGCAGTCTCCAACTCCTCCCACCTCAATCTCCTGAGTAGCTGGGGCTACAGGTGTGTGCCAACATGCCTAGATAATCTTTAAGTTTTTTTTTTTCAGTAGAGATGAGGTCTCACTATGTTGCCCAGGCTGGTCTAGAACTCCTGAGCTCAAGCGATGCTTCTGCCTCAGCCTCCCAAAGTGTTAGGATTTCCCGGGAGAGCCACCGCTCCTGGCCTCTAGTTGTTTTAATCTGTCTTTTTACATTGGCTTTTGTTTTCTAACTGTTGTTCTCCAAGCTATTGTATGTTTAGATTGCAGAACAACTTGTAAAATGAATACTTGCTTTAATGTGCATTATAGGCCGGCCGCGGTGGCTCAAGCCTGTAATCCCAGCACTTTGGGAGGCCGAGACGGGCGGATCACGAGGTCAGGAGATCGAGACCATCCTGGCTAACACGGTGAAACCCCGTCTCTAATAAAAAATAGAAAAAAAAACTAGCCGGGCGAGGTGGCGGGTGCCTGTAGTCCCAGCTACTCGGGAGGCTGAGGCAGGAGAATGGCGTGAACCCGGGAGGCGGAGCTTGCAGTGAGCCGAGATCTGGCCATTGCACTCCAGCCTGGGTGACACAGCAAGACTCCGTCTCAAAAAAA